TCAGTCACTGCCCACGTTTTCAACCCAAGTGTCCCGGGGTCCCCTTTTTAGTCACAACCCACTTTTTAAACCCAAGGGTCCCGGGGTCAACGTCAGTCCTACCCCGTTCTTCAACCCAAGTGCCCCCAGGTCAACGTCATCCACCCCGTTCTTCAACCCAAGTGCCCCCGGGGGTCCACGCAGTCACTCCCCACTTCTTCAACCCAATGTCCCAGGCACACTGTCATCACTACCCAGTTCTTAAACCCAAGTGCCCCGGGGTCACACTGTCATCACTACCCACGTTTTTTTCAACCAATTCCCGGGGTCACACTGCATCACTGCCCCTTCTTCAACCCCCCAAGTGCCCAGGGTCACACTGTTATCACTACCCACTTCTTAAAACCCAATGTCCCAGGGTCCACTGTCATCACAACCCCTTCTTCAACCCAAGTGTCCCGGGGTCACACGTCATCACTACCCAGTTCTTAAACCCAAGGTCCCAGGGTCAACGCGTCATCCTACCCAGTTCTTCAACCCCAATCCCCCCAGGGTCACACTGCATCACTCCCCACGTTCTTCAACCCAAGGTCCCGGGGCACACGCAGCCACTACCCCTTTTCTTAAAACCCAATGCCCCAGGGTCCATGTCATCACTACCCACTTTCTTCAACCCAAGGTCCCGGGGTCACACTGCAGTCACTACCCACGTTCTTAAACCCAATGTCCCAGGGTCACACGTCAGTCACACCCCGTTTCAACCCAAGTGCCCAGGGTCCACTGTCAGTCATACCCACTTTTTCCTTCAACCCAATGTCCCAGGGTCACACGTCAGTCCTACCCACTTCTTCAACCCAAGTGCCCCCAGGGTCACACTGTCAGTCACACCCCGTCTTCAAAACCCAAGGTCCCGGGGTCACACTGCCCTTTTCCTACCCACTTTTTCAACCCAAGTGTCCCAGGGTCACACTGTCAGTCACTACCCACGTTCTTCAACCCAAGTGTCCCAGGGTCACACTGTCAGTCACTACCCACGTTCTTCAACCCAAGTGTCCCAGGGTCACACTGTCAGTCACTACCCACGTTCTTCAACCCAAGTGTCCCAGGGTCACACTGTCAGTCACTACCCCTTCTTCAACCCAAGTGTCCCAGGGTCACACTGTCAGTCACTGCCCACGTTCTTCAACCCAAGTGTCCCAGGGTCACACTGTCAGTCACTACCCACGTTCTTCAACCCAAGTGCCCCCCGGGGTCCACTGCTCACTGCCCACGTTCTTCAACCCAATGCCCCCAGGGTCACGCTGTCAGTCCTCCCCACGTTTTTCAACCCAAGTGTCCCAGGGCCACCTGAGTCACTACCCACTTCTTAAACCCCAAAAGTGTCCCAGGCACACGCATCACCGCCCACTTCTTCAACCCAATGCCCCAGGGCACACTGCAGTCACTACCCACGTTCTTCAACCCAAGTGTCCCAGGGTCACACTGTCAGTCACTACCCACGTTCTTCAACCCAAGTGTCCCAGGGTCACACTGCAGTCACTGCCCCTTCTTCAACCCAAGTGTCCCGGGGTCACATTCAGTCACCCCCCCCACTTTTCTTCACCCAAGTTCCCAGGGCACACTGTCATCCTACCCACTTCTTAAACCCAAGTGTCCCAGGGTCACACTGTCACACTACCCACTTCTTCAACCCAAGTGCCCAGGTCCACGTCAGTCACTACCCACTTTTTAAACCCCAAAGTGTCCCGGTCACACTGTCAGTCACTACCCACTTTCTTCAACCCAAGTTCCCAGGTCACACGTCATCACTCCCCCACGTTCTTCAACCCAAGTCCCAGGTCACGCGGTCAGTCACTACCCACTTTTCTTAAACCCAAGTGTCCCCCCCGGGGTCACACGTCATCACTACCCACGTTTTTCAACCCAAGTTCCCCAGGTCACACGTATCACTACCCACTTTCTTCAACCCAAGTGCCCCCAGGGCAGCTGTCATCACTACCCCCACTTTCTAAACCCCAATGTCCCGGGGGTCACACGTCAGTCACACCCACTTTCTTCAACCCAAGTTTCCCAGGGTCCACTGTCAGTCACTACCCACGTTTTTTCAACCCAAGTTCCCCAGGGTCCACTGTCTCACACCCACGTTTTTTAAACCCAAAAGTGTCCCAGGGTCCGCTGCAGTCACAAACCCCTTTTTTTCAACCCTTTTGTCCCAGGTCACCGTCATCAAACCCACGTTCTTAAACCCAAGTGTCCCGGGGGTCACGCTGTCAGTCACTGACCACGTTCTTTAAAAAACCCAAAGTGCCCCCCGGGTCACACTGCATCCTACCCACTTTTCTTCAACCCAAGGCCCCGGGGTCACACTGCATCACACCCACTTTTAAACCCAAAGTGTCCCAGGGTCCACGTCAGCCTACCCACTTTTTTAAACCCCCAATGTCCCGGGGCCCACCTGTCAGCACCCCCACGTTTTTCAACCCAAAGTCCCCCGGGGTCACACGTCATCACTACCCACTTTTCTTCAACCCAAGTGCCCCAAAGGTCACACTGTTAGTCACTCCCCCACGTTCTTAAACCCCAATGTCCCGGGGGTCACGCTTCAGTCACTACCCACTTCTTCAACCCAAAGTGTCCCAGGGCACACTGTCTTAAACTACCACTTTTTTCCCCCAAGTTCCCAGGGTCACACTGCAGTCACTGCCCACGTTCTTCAACCCAAAGTGTCCCAGGGCACCTGTCCATCACTACCCACTTTTTCCCAACCCAAGTTCCCGGGGTCACGCGTCATCACTACCCACTTTCAACCCAAGTGTCCCAGGGTCACACTGTCAGTCACTACCCACGTTCTTCAACCCAAGTGTCCCAGGGTCACACTGTCAGTCACTACCCACGTTCTTCAACCCAAGTTCCGGGTCACACTGTCACACTACCCACTTTTCTTCAACCCAAGGTCCCAGGGTCACGCTGTCACACTACCCACGTTTTTTTTAAACCCAAGTGTCCCAGGCACACTGTCAGTCACAACCCATTTTTCTTCAACCCAATTTTCCCGGGGGTCACGCTGTCATCACTGCCCACGTTTTTTAAACCCAAGTGCCCCGGGGTCACACTGCAGTCACACCCACGTTCTTAAAACCCAAGTGTCCCGGGGTCACGCTGTCAGTCACCCCCACTTTTTAAACCCAATGCCCAGGTACACTGTCACCCACACCCACGTTTTTAAACCCCAAAGGCCCCGGGTCACACGTCACACTCCCCACGTTCTTCAACCCCAAAGTGTCCCAGGGTCACGCTGTCAGTCACTACCCACTTTCTTCAACCCAAGGGGTTCCCGGGCACACTGTCAGTCACACTCATTCTTCAACCCAATGGAAAAAACTGCACACAAAAACTTAGTGCATTGTATTGGAAAATTTTGGGTCCTGGGATCTAGCAAACGAACAAGTGACACGTTCCGGGAACGAAACCTTTCAACAACGCCTGTGTTTGCATTTTTTTTTTTTTCCAATCATCTGTGGTCACATACCATTTTTTACCACTATAAAATAACTTAAGTTTCTTAAAAGGGATTATGGATAAATTTTGGACCCGTATTGCAGCCAGAGCAATAATGAGGCATGGAGAAAAAAACCCTTAACTTTTGGGGCACTTTTTTCCCTCTCTTTTAATCAGGGACTTCATTACGGCGCTAAAACCCAAACTAGATGTCCTTATTGTTGGACTTTTTTGTAGAACTTTAATACAAAGTCTGAGACAACGTTAGCACAAGCAATTAAATTTATTATAAATTTAATTATTATTTATTCGAATTATATTTCAGTTTCAAGTATTTATTTTACTAAATTTCAAGTTTTCACTTACGCGCTGATATTCATTAAACATACATACTGTTGTTTACATTTTTTGTAGTGACGTTATACTGACTAATACTGATTCTGGAAGGATTGGTGGTAATGATGCTAGTAATAATGGTAGTGGTGATGGTAGTGGTAGTAATAGTGGTATTGATGCAGTAACAGTGGTAGTGGTAATGATGTTAGTAACAGTGGTAGTGGTGATGTTAGTAGTGGTGGTGATGTTTGTAACAGTGGTAGTGGTGGTGATGTTAGTAATAGTGGTAGTGGTGGTTTTGGTGACAGGAACAGTGGTAATGGTGATGTTAGTAATAGTGGTAGTGGGGATGTTAATAACAGTGGTAATGGTGATATTTGTAATAGTTGTAATGGTGATGTTAGTGACAGTGGTAGTGGTGGTGTTAGTGACAGTGGTAGTGGTGGTGTTAGTAACAGTGGTAGTGGTGTTATTAATACTGGTAGTGATGTTAGGAACAGTAGTATGTTAGTAATAGTGGTTATGATGTTAGTAACAGTGGTAATGGTGATGTCAATAACAACGGTAATGGTGATGTTAGTAACAGTGGTTGTGATGGTAGTAACTGTGGTATTGGTAGTGATGTTAGTAATGGTGGTGGTTGTGATGTTAGTAATTGTGTTATTGGTGGTGATGTTAGTAATAGTGGTAATGGCAGTGATGTTAGTAATGGAGGTAGTGGTTGTGATATTAGTAATAGCGGCAGTAATGTAAGTCATAGTGGTGGTGGTTGTGAAGTTAGTAATGGTGGTAGTGGTATGTTAGTAATAGTGGTGATGTTAGTAACTGTGGTAGTGGTGATATTAGTAACAGTGGTGGTTGTGACGTTAGTAATGGTGGTAGTGGTGATGTTAATAATGGTAGTAGTGGTATATTAGTAATAGTGATGTTAATAATAGTAGTGATGTTGGTAATAGTGGTGATGTTAGTAATGGTGGTTGTGACAATAGTGGTAGTGATGTTTATACTGGTGGTAGTGGTTGTGATGTTTGTCATAGCAGTAGTAGTGGTGATGGTGATGTTAGTAATAGTGGTTGTGATGTTAGTAATGGTAGTGGTTGTGATGTTAGTAATAGTGGTAGTAGCGATGTTTGTACTGGTGGTGGTGGTGAGAAGTGGGGTATGGTAGTGTTGGAGGTGATACTGACCGGTGCTGCAGACATCATCGTCAGCAGGTAGTTCAGGGTAGGGGTCGAGGGTGGGGTCACTGTAGAAGCTGGTCCAGCGGGGCGACGACACCGCAGCCAGCACCGCACCCTTCAGCTTGCGGCGAGCGTTCATCTTGCGCATCTCCTCCACCGTAGAATGCAAGTGTGACCTCGAGGCATACTTGTCACGGTCCTGCCGGCAAGACACACACGGTCAATACTAGTGAAGGCAGCCACGGTGAGAATAATAATCTTAGTTCATACTCAAAGTAACGGCAAACTGTAAAGAGAGAGAGAGAGAGAGAGAGAGAGAGAGAGAGAGAGAGAGAGAGAGAGGAGAGAGAGAGAGAGAGAGATCGCATTTATACAATGCAGGAAGCATAAGGAAAGACATGAGTGCAGATATCAGTTGTGCAAAAATTTCCAAATGACAATATCCATAAAAGACAAGAACGGCAACTTAGGAAAATGATGACTTAGGTAATGAAGGAAAACCTCCGCACACAAAGAATCATCACTGCACAGTTGTAACATCAAACAGGATTGATCTTATTAAATGTAATAATGCTTCAGACTCTTTATTCGGACTTCTGAAATTCAGTCTTAGGTTTGTCAGGTGTACGCTACAAATGTTGCAGGTTTTGGAAAACACATTTGGCATGATGTTTCCTCCCAGACCCTTCTCTTTATCTAGCTCAATTCATCACAATTACTGAGGTTAAACTCTAGCAGCCAGTCCAGGTTGTACGATAATTTACTCACTTTTTCTTTTCATATTCTCATTATCATTTAAACATTATCTGTGAACATTAATATATGCGAATGTATTCTTCTTCATTATTCCATTGATAAATCTTTCCATCTTTCCTAGACGTCTGGACCAGTTTGTTACCGGGGCCTCTTTCTCTCTTTTCCTTTGAAATTACAACAGTTGACAAGCAAATATACTCAGCACTTCTCAGTGCTGCTCAAGCATTACAATCGTGCTGCACAAAGGAATCTTGTTTTTTAAAAGTATCTTCCACACTCAGCTAAAGTTACTATACATAAAAATGTTCCTTGCAAATAACAATTTTTATTACTTGCTATAGTTTTATTTATATGTTTAAATGAATTAATTAAATAAGTTTGATTTAAAAAAGGTTAATACAAAGATAAATTCCTAATCTGAAAAACAATTTTGGTTGTTTCACTGAATCAGACAATGTGAATTTAATAAGAAAATTGCGTGTTTAGGCATTTATACTTTAACCACCGAATTCCACTCATGTTCTTAAAAATTGTTTCATTTTATATTAACAAAGGAATCCCTGAGCTAAGAGGTATGTCCCATGAGGAGAGGCACAGTGAAATACATTTTTTCCGTTAGGTTCAGAATGATTTTGGCAAAATTATTGCATACACAAATTTTAGCTTCTCCTATATGGCAAGATGAGCGTTGCTATTTAAGCCAAGATCGCAAGTTCTGCCTATTAGGCACGACATATATATATATATATATATATATATATATATATATATATATATATATATATATATATATGCGCAAAACAACCACTGTGAAAGAATATAGAAATTCCAAGCGCTTTCGTGACTACTCACATTATCAAGGAACAATGAAAGTAATGCATCAAAGGAAGGCATATTAAGGGTCTAGCCCACACCTCACTATCACATCCCACAACAAAGCAACATTATATATATATATATATATATATATATATATATATATATATATATATATATATATATATATATATATAATATATATATATATATATATTATATATATATATATAGTTTTTTTAACAAGTCGGCCGTCTCCCACCCAGGCAGGGTGACCCAAAAAAGAAAATACTTTCATCATTCAACACTTTCACCTCACACATAATCACTGTTTTTGCTGAGGCGCTCAGAACACAACAGTTTAGAAGCACATACGTATAAAGGCACACAACATATCCCTCCAAACTGCTAATATCCCGAACCCCTCTTTTAGAGTGCAGACACTGTACTTCCCATTTCCAGGACTCAAGTTTGGCTATATAAAAATAACCGGTTTCCATGAATCCCTTCACTAAATAATACCCTGCTCACACTCCAACAGATCGTCAGGTCCCAAATACCATTCGTCTCCATTCACTCCTATCGAACACGCTCATGCACGCATGCTGGAAGTCCAAGCCCCTCGCCCACAACACCTCCCTTACCCCTTCCTTCCAACCTTTTGGAGGACGACCCCTACCCCGCCTTCCTTCCCCTACAGATTTATACGCTCTCCATGTCATTCTACTTTGATCCATTCTCTCTAAATGACCAAACCACCTCAACAACCCCCTCTTCAGCCCTCTAATACTTTTATTAACTCCACACCTTCCCCTAATTTCCACACTCCGAATTTTCTGCATAATATTTACACCACACATTGCCCTTAGATAGGACATCTCCACTGCCTCCAACCGCCTCTTCGCTGCTGCATTCACAACCCAAGCTTCACACCCATATAAGAGTGTTGGTACTACTATACTTTCACACATTCCCTTCTTTGCCTCCAAAGATAACGTTATTTGTCTCCACATATACCTCAATGCACCACTCACCTTTTTTCCCTCATCAATTCTATGATTAACCTCATCCTTCATAAATCCATCCGCCGACACGTCAACTCCCAAGTATCTGAAAACATTCACTTCTTCCATACTCCTCCTCCCCAATTTGATATCCAATTTTTTTTATCTAAATCATTTGATACCCTCATCACCTTACTCTTTTCTATGTTCACTTTCAACTTTCTACCTTTACACACATTCCCAAACTCATCCACTAACCTTTGCAATTTTTCTCTAGAATCTCCCATAAGCACAGTATCAACAAAAAGCAACTGTGTCAATTCCAATTTTGTATTTAATTCCCCATAATTTAATCCCATCCCTCTCCCGAACACCCTAGCATTTACTTCTTTTACAACCCCATCTATAAATATATTACACAACCATGGTGACATTACACATCCCTGTCTAAGACCGACTTTTACTGGGAAGTAGTCTCCCTCTCTTCTACACACCCTAACCTGAGCCTCACTATCCTCATAAAAACTTTTTACAGCATTTAGTAACTTACCACCTATTCCATATACTTGCAACATCTGCCACATTGCTCCCCTATCCACTCTATCATATGCCTTTTCTAAATCCATAAATGCAATAAAAACTTCCCTACCTTTATCTAAATATTGTTCACATATATGCTTCAATGTAAACACTTTATCTACACATCCCCTACCCACTCTAAAACCTCCTACATTCTGTCTTACCTCTAATTCTTTCAATTATAACCCTACCGTACACTTTTCCTGATATACTCGGTAAACTTATTCCTCTATAATTTTTACAATATCTTATGTCCCCGTTCCCTTTATATAAAGGGACTATACATGCTCTCTGCCAATCCCTAGGTACCTTCCCCTCTTTCATACATTAAACAAAAATACCAACCACTCCAACACTATATAACCCCCTGCTTTTTAACATTTCTGTCATGATCCCGTCAGTTCCAGCTGCTTTACCCCCTTTCATTCTACGTAATGCCTTACGCACCTCCCCCACACTCAAATCCTGTTCTTCTTCACTCCTAAAAGATGGTATACCTCCCTGTCCAGTGCATGAAATTACCGCCTCCCTTTCTTCGTCGACATTTAAAAGTTCCTCAAAATATTCTCTCCATCTACCCAAAACCTCCATCTCCCCATCTACTAACTCCCCTACTCTGTTTTTAACTGACAAATCCATTCGTTCTCTAGGTTTTCTTAACTTGTTTATCTCACTCCAAAAATTTTTCTTATTTTCATTAAAATTTCTTGACAGTGCCTCTCCCACTCTATCATCTGCTCTCCTTTCGCACTCTCTCACCACTCTATTCACCTTTCTTTTACTCTCCATATACTCTACTCTTCTTATAACACTTCTGCTTTGTAAAAACCTCTCATAAACTAACTTTTTAGCTTTTATCACACCCTTTACTTCATTCCACCAATTACTCCTCTTTCCTCCTGCACCCACTCTCCTATAACCACAAACTTCTGCTCCACATTCTAATGCTGCATTTTTAAAACTATTCCAACCCTCTTCAACCCCCCCCCCCACTACTCATACTTGCACCAGCCCACCTTTCTGCCAATAGTTGCACCTATAAAGCTGGACTGGGGACCCTCATCCTCAGAGAAGAGAATAAATGTACTTCAGGGAACACTCAGGTTCTCCTCGGAGCTGTTTGAATATTTTCGCTTTCTACCACCCCCTATATTCTATGTGAACTTTATTTGTAGACAATACACTGACAAAAAAAAATCATGTATACATTGGTACAATATATCAAAGATTATGGATCTTCAGTTCCTTCGAAGCCAGATGCGAGCCAAGTATGCAGCAAGCATACTTGGCTCTGGATGGCCACACTGAAGCGCTGGAACATGAATGTGCCTGCCCTCGGTTCCCTGGTGGTGTCGATAAGTCTGGAACCCAGTTCTTTAAAGAAACATATGGCGTTTTTTCCCCATGATCCCCAGGTCTCTGATCCCACTGAGACAAATTGATACTCTTGGCCTATGTCTCTGTACTTGCCGATCTTGTACTCCTTGTGATCAGTCGCTCCTACCTGTCGCCCAACACTGACAGATGCATAGTACCATGCTAAAAGCATGTATGTCGTGCCGAATAGGTAAAACTTGCTATAATTGCTTAAACAGTAATGCTCTTCTTGCTGAATAAGGCAAGCAAAAATTTGTGTATGCAATAATATCGCAAAAGTCATTCTGAACCTAACGAAAAAAATATACTTTATTGTGTCTGTTTATTAAAGTATTGTAAACTTACCTAAAATATATTTAGCTGGATTAGACTAAATTAAATTGCGCTTCTTATAATAAGGTTAGGTAAGTTTACTAAGATTCCTTTGGTGCAAAATTATTAATTTTTACAGTAACATAAATGAAAAAATATATCTTTAAACGTATAAGAGAAAATTTTAGAAAGGACTTAATTTTCAACGAGTTCTTGCTAATTGACCAATTTTACCTATTCGGCACGACATATACGCAACACACAAGAACAGGGACGAAATTAACAATAAAAGCAAGGAAGATAAACAGTCAACACAAACATATACTATCATACCAAGTTAAAATAACCAGCAGCA